AGCCTGAGCACGAGAGCATGAGACCGCCGCCTCTCCGCTCTACTAATAATAGGAAAAGAATTAGCGTAGGTGTGGAAGTGCACAGCGCTGGTAGTACCTAGGCTAGCTGCGGGAAGGCTGAGAGGCAGGAGTAGGCCATTTGAGCCCAGGTTTGACGGTTGTTGTGATGCTAGTCCGAGCTGCAGTACTCTAGGCCAGGCACAAGCGGCTCAGTCTGCAAGAAACGAAGGAAGGGGGCCGCATGCTGGGCTCACGCGCTGACTCCTAGCACTATTGGGAGCTGCGAGCGCGGCCAGATTGCTCAAGGTCGAGGAGGTCGCAGCCAGCTGAGCGAGACCTCGTCTCTACGCAAAAATAGAAGTAAATTAGATGAGCAACTAAATTATATATACAAAAAAAAGAAAAAAAATATGCCAGGGCATGGTGTGTGCATGCCTGTAGTTCCCAGCTACGTTGGAAGGCTGAGGGCAGTAGTGATTCTGAGCCCTGGAGACTGAGGTTGCTGTGAGCCAGGCTGAACGCCAGGCACTCCACTCTAGCCTGTTTTGAGACAGAGTCTTGCTTTGTTGCCCAGGTTAGAGTGAGTGCCGTGGTGTCAGCCTAGCTCATAGCAACCTCAAACTCCTGAGCTCAAGCAATCCTGCTGCCTCAGCCCCCCGAGTAGCTGGGACTACAGGCATGTGCCACCATACCCGGCTAATTTTTTCTCTATATATTAGTTGGCCAATTAATTTCTTTCTATTTATAGTAGAGACGGGATCTCACTCTTGCTCAGGCTGGTTTTGAACTCCTGACCTCGAACAATCCGCCCACCTCGGCCTCCCAGAGTGCTAGGATTACAGGCGTGAGCCACCACGCCCAGCTAGTTTCTCATGTTTGAATGGCTGAAATATTCTCCTAACTGATTTTCTGGGCCTAAACTATCACTATAATTCATTATGCACAGCATCAGATTGATCTTCCTAAAGTATCATTTTAACGTTAACACTTACCTGCCTAAAAATGTTCTTTAAAGTTCAAGCTACTCAGCATGACATTCAAGGCCTTCCGTAATCCATTCCTGACCTACCTGAATTAGTTCTTTGCTCCAGGATTCCTACTCATGGAGACCTCACAATGGAGAAGTACAAAATATAAGTGCTGTAGTTCAGAAGTTGGATAGGAGATCCGTGTAGACTGGGAAGAGGTTGAGGGTCCAGGATAGCTTTGTCAAGGAAGTCTGGATTCATTTCTCTAAATAACACTTGGGTCCCATTGCTCCTCAAACCCACAGCCTCTCCTTTCTCAGCCCATACTTGGGAAGGATTTTCACAATAGGCGGTACTTAAACGAGACTGTGGGATAAGATTCAAATAGGTGAAAGGAAGGTGGGAGATGTGCTAGGAATAGAGTGAAAAGAGGTTATGATGGATGGATTTGGATTCCACTATAGCAGGCCTTAAGTACCAGCTTGAGACAGAAGAGGTAGTTTTGATTTTATCTTATAGCCCTTCAAGATTTCTTAGCAAAAGAGACAGAGGATTTGAGTGATGCCTTAGGAAATATGTCTATAGGGAGGATGAGTTTAGGGTGGGAGACTGAAGGGTGGCCAATTAGGAGGACATTCAACTGTCCAGACTTGACTTAATAATGACCCAGCCCAAAGAGGTGACAGTTTATCTCTACATAGAATCTAAGACTTAGTCTTTAGGAAGAGGACATATTCTTTTGTCTTCAGTAATATTCCCAGGTGGTCTTACACAAAGGAAGGGAGAAGAACTGGTTGGACCTCAGCATGCCCTTCTTGTTTCTCCGGTCTTCCTGTGATGTGTTTACACTTGCCCTTACTACTGAGGTCCCAGGAAACTATGATGGCACAGCCCCATCCTCATGATGTCTGTAGGATCCAGGCTCTTTCCTTTCTGTGGGGGTCTGTTAAGGGCCAGCTGTCAGGGTCCTCCAACCCCACCCCTAGACACCCCTGGTTGGTATAAGACTTAGACTCAATGTTATGGGCTCAAGGTGAGTTGTTTTTCCTGCTCTGGAACTATTAATATTAACACAAACAGCTCTCTTGCCATTGTTAACTATTGGGCAGAAAAGAAACTGAAAGAGAGAGGGCCACTAGATCCTTTCAGCTACATCCTTAGGACTTTAATAAGTCAAAGAAGCTATGCTGCCAGAGAACTGTCAGGAAAGCCATCTCTGTATGCAGATAGAGGACATATTTATCCACAAAGAAGAGGAGAAAGAGTGCTCCAGATTCTAGCTTCCCTTGCTCAGTAATCCGTCTTTCTGGAAGGTGTCTGAGCCTTTTTCTGCTTTCCCCCATGCAAATTCTCTTGCTCTTTTCTCTTTTGTCCTTGCCTCAGTGCATTTTTCTTTCCCTGTCTTGCCCATAAGTTAGAAAGTGTGAGCTCAGCCCCAGAATTTCCTTCTCTCACACCTCTGAGGGTCCTGCAAACCAGGAAGGTTTGCAGCATTCTATTCTATTACAGCTCAGAGCACCTCCTCCTGGCAGGGAGCACCCTCAGGCCAGGGAAGGGCCTTCCCTGTCTTTGACTGCCCAGTGCTCTGCATGGGCAACACAAGGGAACCCAGCCCTGCTCCTGCCACTGTGCCTGCTTTCCTTTGAGCTTCCCAGCCCCCACCCCACTCCAGAGAGCTGGAGGATGACAGACAGGAGACTCTCTGGGTGACTGTCAGATGCATCATGGGTGACAGAAAGTGAAGGTCTGACTGATGGGGCAGCATCTTCCCAGGTGCTGGGGACTCCCCTGGCCTCATCCTGTCCCTGCTCAGGCGTCCTCTGAGGAGGAGGGGGCTGCTCCCTCAGCCAATCCCAGGGCCTGGTTTGGGGTTGGGAGAAATGAAGCGTCAGCTTACATGCCGTCCTCACTGGTTCTGGCTGCAGCCCAGCTTCTCCATAGCGTCCCTCTCCCTCACCTGACCCCAGCCCACAAATCCCTGCCTTGCTTCTTCCAACCTTCACTCAGCCCCTGCGATGGCTCTGCAAGATGTGTGCAAGTGGCAGGCGCCTGACACCCAGAGACCATCACCTCACCTGCCCCAGTCTGGTGGCTGGGCCGTGCCCCGGGGCTGTGACCCTCAAGCCTTCCTGCAGACCCATGGCCCCCAGCTGGCCCACGGCACCACCACCCTGGCCTTCCGCTTCCGTCACGGAGTCATAGCCGCGGCCGACACACGCTCCTCCTGTGGCAGCTACGTGGCATGTCCAGCCTCACTCAAGGTCATCCCTGTGCACCGGCACCTCCTGGGTACTACCTCTGGCACCTCGGCCGACTGTGCCACATGGTATCGGGTGCTACAGCGGGAGCTCCGGCTTCGGGTACTGAGGGAGGGTCAGCTGCCCAGCGTGGCCAGCGCTGCCAAGCTCTTATCAGCCATGATGTCCCGCTACCGGGGGCTGGATCTGTGTGTGGCCACTGCCCTGTGCGGCTGGGACTGCTCTGGTCCTGCCCTCTTCTATGTCTACAGCGATGGCACCCGCCTGAAGGGGGACATCTTCTCAGTGGGCTCTGGATCTCCCTATGCCTACGGCGTGCTAGACCGTGGCTACCGCTATGACATGACCACCCAGGAAGCCTACGCCCTGGCTCGACGCGCTGTGGCCCACGCCACCCACCGGGATGCCTATTCAGGGGGCTCTGTAGACCTTTTCCACGTGCGGGAGAGTGGATGGGAGTATGTGTCGCGCAACGATGCCTGTGTGCTGTACACGCAGCTGCAGAAGCTCGGGGAGCCAGAACCAGAAGAGGAGGCCAGCCAGGCCCATCTTGAGCCTGCCACTACCCACAGAGCTGGAGAAGATGGAGAACTCTCTGCGGGAGCCGGGGAGGTGACACCAGGAGACTCCAGGATGTCAGCAGGGACTGAGATGCTGTGAGAAGCGGCAGGACTTGAGGGGATCCAGGCCCAGGGAGTGGGTGGGAGAGGGACAGCAGGGGTAGGCCCACTGGGAGCAGCCTCACAGCATCTGTCTCCAGCCTTGACAAGTTGCCGGCTTCATTTGTTCCAAGTCTCCATGCTTTCTGCCTCCCAGGCTATTGATGGCTCTTTGTTGACGCCCGATGGGTTGGGCCAGCCTCCTTCTGGGTGCCACGTCCGTCTTCCAGCAAACACTTGCAGTGTGCCTGCTGCATGCCAGATGCCGCGCTAGGTGCTAGACCCTCTTTTCTTGCCATCTTCTTTTCTGCTTTTTTCCATCCCATCCCCAGTCTCTCTTAGTTTTGGCCGTTTATCACAGTGTCTTTTTCCCCTGGTGGCTTTCTCACATTGGTGAGGTGGGGCGGTGGGGAGGGGAGCAGCCCCTCTCAGGAGGAGGAGGGGATGGTGGCCCCGCCCGGTACAGTGATGGACGCCTCTTGGTGTGGTGTGCTTAGCTCATCTGCCCTCCTTTGCCTTAACCGTAATGACGAGAATGATTATTCCTTTACTGACAGCAGTTCTCATGACAGCCCTTTGAGGTAAAAATGATCTTTCCTCACTTTATAGAAGGGGAATCAGGTTCAAAGGGTTATGTGACTTGCCCGGGTCACACAGCAAGTGGCAGAAAGGAGGCTTAGACCCAGGCCTTCCCCGCCAGGGCCTGCGCTGACTCAGCACAGCTCCTCCCACGCCCCTGCCCTGCCTCTCCTCCTTCCCTGCAGGCTTCCGGGGAGAGGTGTGGAGGGGGAGAGTAGCTGGGCCAAGCCCCTGCGTGGTCGCCAGGGGTGAGTGAACTCTGAGGGCCTGCAGGGGTGAGCTCAGGGCAGCCCCCCACGTCTGGCTTTATCGTCCAGGCACAGAGACAGACCCCACAGCCCACCTGGCTCTTCTGCTGTCTGGGCCTGGGTTCCACTGCCAGCTGTGCCCTCCTCCTTTCTCCCCTTGCTTTCTTCCCAGCTTCTTCTTTCTCAGGCTGCCTCTGGAGAAGAAAGAGGAGAGGCAAGTGGCTGTGCCAGAGGGAACAGTCTCCTGTCCCTCTTGTCCCCACGCCAGCTCCCCTGGAAGCACTGACTTGGAGATCGAGGCTGAGAGCTCCAGGAGGGCCACTGCCCCCTCTCCCCGGCCACGTGGGAGAGAAGACACTAGGAGATAGGGCCTGAAGGAAGGTTGCTGAAGCTTCTGTTCTCTCATCCCACATCCCAGTCCCAAGAATAACAGCCACTTGTCCTCCCTCCTGGAACCCTTTCTCCTAGCTCCAGCCTGGGCCCTGAGCCCTAACCCTGCACCCCAGGCTAAGAATTCTTCTAGCAGGAGCTGGCCAGAAAGGAGGAGGCCTCCAGACTCTGGCCCTGAGGGGATGACTGGGAAGGAGTAAGGAAAGGTCCTGGAGGCAGCCCCAGAAATGACAGCAGTGGGGACACAGTGGTGGGTGGAATTTTGGTGAGAAAGGGGATCATAGAAATGTGCCCAATACAAGAGGACTGGCCTCCAACCTGGAGTCAAGGAATCTGGCCAGTGGTCTCCACAGCAACCCTCTTCACCCCTTGCTCACTCCCCTGCCTCAGGGGAGGAGATTTTGGACTCTGGGACCCATAACCAGAGACCAGCTATGTGCCCCTGGAGGAGCAAACGGTTCCAGTGTTTGGTGCAGGCATGAGAGGGTGCGTATTTGTGCCCACAGTCGTAGGTGGGTCTTGTGTCCAGGTGTAGAGTGATATAGGATGGGTGTGTGCATGTGCGTGTGGCAGGTGATGCAGTTCTTGTGTGTGGAGACAGGAAACAGACTTACAGAAAAGAGCAACACCTGAATAAGGACAGCAGCCTCTTATGGGAAGAATGCCAGGCCTTGTCACTTCTTTTAGAGCTGTGATCCAGAGTAAAGAGGAGGTGGGGGCAGGACTCGCCCCACCAGTTCTCCACTTCCTCATGCTCCCAATCCTATCCTGAGGCTCTCAGGGAGGGAGGAGTGGCCCAGGGCCTGGGACTGCCACCTGAGCCCAGGCAGGGGCAGTGGGAACTGCCGGCATCTCCCTGCCCCCAGATGCTCTGCGCCCCTCCCCCTCCCAAACTGGAGAGGAGGATTGAACCCAGACTGAGAGGGCAGAACCAAGAGGGAGCCTCATCTTGCATCTCCTTCCATCTCCTCTTCCCCTTTCCCTCTCCCTTCTTTCCACAGTCCTGCCTATCTCCCTCCCTTGACAGCTTCTGCCTTCCAGGAATGAGGTGTTTGAGACCAGAGGTGAGCCCCTGGATCTTGTTGACAAGTCTGTTGCCCTGTGCCCTGTTATTATCCTCTATGTTTTTGATGAGATGGGGGAGGACCCCAGAAGGGTATTAGGGAGGGCTGGGCAGGCCAAGGTCAGCATCCCATTCCAATGCACTCCTCCCTGCCTAAGCATGGCCCGGATCATTTCCTCCATCTCTCCAGTATTCGTGAAGGTTTGATGCAGAATCAGGGTGAGACCAAAGGGGCAGAGGTCTTACCCTTCCTGCCCTGAGTCTGAAGACCTTGTCCATTCTGATGCCTTACTTGGGATGCTGCCTTCTCCCAGTCTCCTGAGGCCTTGCCCAGGCTCTTGGGCTGTTAGGAGTCCAGGGTGCCAGTCTTCAGAAGAGTAAGGCATGTGCTTGTTCCCCCACCACCTGGTTGCCCTAGTCAAGCAGGTGTGGAAGGTGTGACAGAAGGCATATGCACATTGAAGCAGCTTCCCCCGTTGCCAGCACCTCACACTTCCTAAGCCACCCGCTGTCTGTGTGCCTCTAGGAGCCGGGCCTGGAGCTAAGAGGCCTGGGCTCTTATGCTGGTTCCTGGGCGGATCCTTTCTGTGCACCAGGGAGTGGACATTGGGAGAAGCTGGCAGTTCCTGCTCAGCTCCCACCACAGCTGACTTCGATTCTGCCCCTCAACAGGTGCCTCCCTGGTCCCTCTCCATCCTCCTTTGTGCTCCACAAAGACTAAGACTGTGGATGGGGTGGGGAGAACTAAAGCGGGGGACTGCAGGCCCAGATTCAACGTGGCCATCCCACCCTGGCCCACCCTTTCCCCAGTGGGCACTACAGGCCCCAGGAAAGGCTGGCTTGCCTCCCTCTGCTGCCTACCACCCCATTATTCTCCCAGTCTGGAACCCCCTCTTCTTAGTCTGTCAACTCCCCCTCTCCTCTCAGTAGCTTTCATCCTCTATTTCTCCTGCCCATCCTCCCCTCTGGCCAATCCCCTCATCTTACTCTCCTTGAGAGACCAACAGGGAACCCAGACAGTTGCTGGTGGGAGTGGGGCACAGAGCTGTCACCTCCTGACTCCCCAAATCCTCTAGAGGGACTTGAGGTGGCTTTACCCCAAGGCGAAAGGAGAATGAGCAGGGAGGGGAAAGGGCTCTCCTCCCACCCTTCACAACGAAGCTCTGTACAGAAACCTGAGTGCAGAAACAGAAGCAGGGCTCCAGCTTTACAAAATAAAGTGTTTGTTTATTATGAAATTAGAGATGGAGGCCCCTCCCCTTCCTCCCTCTTTCCCCTTCCCCAGCTGCCTCCCCCTTTCCTTCCCTGTTCCCCCTGGGGCCTGGGAAGCACACAAGACAATGCCCAGAGCTGGGATGCCCAGGGCGGCTGACAGCTGGGCAGAGCTCCAGGGAGGCGGCCATGTGGGAGGCTGGAGCTCTCGCCCTGGGAGGCGGCTGGCTCCCTCTCCCTGCTGGAGGCCAGTGGAGCCAGGATGAGGCCATGAGTGATGGATGGAACCATGCGGGCAGGTCTGTAAGGACAGGAGAGCGGGTCAGAGGCAGTGAGTGGGGAGGGGCTTTGGCCACCCCTGGCCCACAGTCTGGAGGCACTGACCTGGGGCAGAGAGCATCCCCTGCGGGAGGGTGGGCAGCAGTGCTGGAAGTTTCTCTTGATTTTTGGGATGGACAACAGAAAAAAATCAAAAAGCCAGTCACAGGGACCCAGCGAAGGCAGGGAGATGTGGGCAGTAGACAGAAACAGAGCATGTGTGTGGGCAAGGGAGACAGAGCGTGTGTGTGTGTGAGAGAGAGAATTTCCAACTGCAGAGACAAACAGCCACAGAGAACGGAGAGGAATCACAGTGAGAGGACGCAGGCTCAGGGTCAGAGCCACAAAACCCAGACCAGGACAGTGTCACAGACAGAGACAAGGATCCCTGGAGAGAGACAAACAGACTCAGGAGGACAAGGAGGGAAGAGCCAGGGTGCCCTGGGGAAGGAAGGGCACAGGGACAGGGAGGAGGCCTGGGCCCCTGGGCTGCTGCCGCCTGCCTGGACCGCGCGGGGCTCACTCAGAGGGCCTGTGCCGCTGCCCCTCCGCGGCGCTCAGGGGCCCGGGGGCTCCTTGGCCCCGTACAGCTCGGCCAGGGTGCGGAAGAGCGGACCCCAGTCGTCCAGCGGCTCTGGGGGGCCGGGGGCGCCGCCGGCTTCGCTGCCGGAGCCCAAGGAGCTGAGGGAGCCGCAGGAGGAGCCCCGGCCCTCGTAGCCGTACACCTGCACCGAGTCGTACGGGGGCACGCTGGGGTCCTCGTCCGCCTCGCGCAGCCGCAGTGCCAGGAGCTGGGCCACGTCGGCAGGGCCCGGTGGCCTGGGCTGGCGCGGCGCCCGGGCCCGGGGCAGCACATCGCGGCGCGTGGCGGGGCCGGGCGCCGGCGGGGCCGCCCCATCGGGGTTCTGCAGGGCCGTGATGTCAAAGGCCTCGGTGTCCTCCTCGCCTCCGCCCTCGTCGTCGTAGGTGATGATGTTCTCGCGGACATCCTCCTCCTCCAGTACCATCAGTGCTTCTTGCTTCTGCCGCCGCAGGGCCACGAAGAGCACCACCAGGGCTGCGCGACAGATGGGGGAACGCAGGCCGCTGGGCCGGCAGGGCCAGGGCCTCTGTATCCGTGACGAACCGCAGACCCAACAGACGATAGAGGAGGCAGTGTGGCCCAGGACGCTGCAAGCCCTAGTTTTGACATCTGGCAAACCTTGCTTTGAATCCTGACTCACCCCTTACTCGCTGTGTGACCATGTGAAGTTGCTTAACTTCTCTGAACCCTTGGTTTACTTGTGTGAAAAACATACTTACCTATTAGGGTTGTTGACAGGATAAAATGAAAGAGCACAAGTGACGTGCCCAGCACCATCCTTGGCACAGAGTAGGGGCTCAATAAATAATTTTTAGGGCTTGTTACTGTCATTACAGATTGGCTCAGGGATATGAGGCCCGAGCTTTTCTCTTGGATGCGTCAGGTGGTGGGAAAGTCCAGGCATGAGGGTCCTTCAAGCTCTAGGGTGGGTTTCCCTATGCCCAGGGCCCTGGCTCTTCTTCACACCCCTCCAGGCCCAGATCCCACACCCATGTCCCACCATGGCCTGACTCACCAAGCAGGGCACCCACACAGGTGACGATGGCAAGCAGGGCACCAGTGCTGAGCCCAGTGGCTGAGAGCTGAGCCTCGGGCCGGCAGGATGCCACAGAACCATCAGGCCGGCAGCGGCACACGCTGACAGTCACCGTGGCAGTGCTGCTCAGTGCGGGATGCCCCCAGTCCCACAGTTCTATGGGAACCAGATAGGGTGCCTGGCGGGGCGGAGCGGGGCGGGAGGGCAGCAGCAGGCTGGCCGAGCCGTCTGTGGGAGAGGGAAGATGTTGGAGCACCTTTTGGGACACCTTCCTGGTAGGGTCAGTCCAGCCCACAGAGCCAACTTCCCATGGGGAAGATTTGCAAAGAGCAACCAAGTGAGTGTAAATCCACACCTACCTTCTGTTGGGTGGAAGGCCCAGACAGGTGGGGCAGGGGTCAGGCAGGCTGGGCTGGGGGTGGTGGAGGAGGAGAGCGGGAGGGACGCAGGCAAGGGCATGGTTGTGGTGAGATAGTATAGGTCGGTGGACTTTGGCTACCTGCCTGAGCCTTGAGCCAAAGCTTAAGTCTGCTTATGATACTGGACAGAAGCTTTGGAAATGATTAATACCCAGCTTCAATAAGAAGTAGTTCTGCTTTCTTTAACAGGACATGGCAACCATCAGAGGAGGGTTCTGCCAGCCCCAGTCAAAGGCAGCACAAACTGGTTACTGCCAAGATGAAGCCCAAAGTTGACCACTCATAGACCTTTTGCCTTATTTTAATGCTAAAAATCACACCCAAAGATGGAGATTTAACATGCTAATGAGACATGCAATGTATGAAGAAGCATGATTACCAGATGGGCAGCTGCCAATACAACTCCGCCTCTACATATTATGATTTCAATGTTGGCATCAAACTTTCTCCTGTACCCTTTAAAAGTTCCCCAGCCCTTTGTTGGGAGAGCCAGTCTGGTTGCTCCTTAACCAGCACTGTCTCCCTTTTGCTTGACCAAAAGCTCCGCCCCCATAAAGCCTTGCCTATCTAAATTCCTTTTTCAGTCTCATGCCAATTTCTATCGACTTGTGGACCAAGAACGGTGAGGTGGGTAACAGTAAGAGGCCACCCACCTCGGTTATCTCGGATAGTAAAGTTGGCATCAGGGCCCAGGGGACCTTGAAAGGAGACACGACTACTGTTGCCATCTTCGTCTCTGTCCAGGGCCCGGATGACCTGAATCAGCTGGGAGGAAGAATTGAGGCCTCATATGGAGTGGGCCGCTGGAGGCCTTGAGGTCCAAACCCCTCTGCCACAGCTGCTCACCTGGCCAGGGGCTGCAGAATCACACACAAAGGTGTCATAGGGCTCAGCCAGCTGGGGGGCATTGTCATTTTCATCCAGGGTCTGGATGGCCACTTGCACGCGGGAGGCCTGTGCAGAGCTGTCTGAAGCCAGAACACCAACACATACACACCACACACGCACACACCACATAGTTTACACACCACATACATGGTACAGGGCATGGATGCCACATGCAGCACATAGCATGCACACACAGCACGTGAAATATGCATGTAATGTACAAGTAGCAAGCAATGTTGTGAAATAAACAGAACAATACCAAGTGCATATGACATTCATGTAGTATCCAAAATATACATCATACACAGCAGACATACAACAGGAATGCGGCGCCGGTGATATGCACGTACAATTACCCACGTGCAGGGCACATGCAGCATAAGTGCAAGTAGATAGATGGTGCGTACAGGTTGCATGCAGTCAACAGCCATGAATATACAAACACATTCATACCATATATCCAATGTACACTCAGTGTTTTAAAACAAACGTAACATACATGAAGTGGGTTTGATATGCACAGTGAATGAATGCAGTGTCACCCCCCACACCCAGGGCCCAAAGAATGCATTTTCATGCATAGAGGCCATGCACAGCACCAGTGGGATGGACACACACACACACACACACACACACATACATACACATACACACACATCCCATCAGAGGTCTGGGAGGCTATAGTGTAGCAGTGAGTGTCACTTAAGAGTTGACCTTGGTGAGGGAGGAGCTACATGACCTACAAGGTGCAGAGCCCCAGCCAGCCTGGGCACTGCAGCCAGATATAGGCCTCGTCTTCACCACCCCTTCATCAGGTGACTTCCGCCATTCCCCCACCTTGCTTCTCACTGCCAATGCCATCCAAGAGAGAATGCAGAGTGTGTACCCCTGTCACCTCTCCTAGACTGAGTCTCCCAATTCCTTCGGTGTTTCCCCTAGGCAGGGGGAAAGCTTGCTGGCCCTGATGGAAGGGGCGGGGGAGGCTGAATGGACTGCGTGGCTAAGGTCTGGGGTGCCCCAGAGACAGGATGGGGATGGGGTCCACTCCTCCACTGTAGTAAGGCCCAGGGCTGCTGGATGATGCTGGGGAAGGCGATGGAGCGGGATTTGGCAGGAAGGTGAGAAAACAGTGAGGGAAATACATAGGGAAACACAGAACTACATATATAAAAGTAGCTGCAAACACAATGTGTACACACACACACACACACACAGACACACACAGAGGGCCCTCCACACGGACATCCACACAACTATAGATACATATGCACTGCCAGGTGGCACCCAGCTCCGTACACAGAAACAGAAACCTAGACACATGTGATTAAATACACATGAAAGGCAGTGTGGTGGTAGAGGCAACAGCTCAGACTGGGTCTGATGGCTCCGCCACGTAATCTGTGTGACCTTGGGAAGTTCCTTAACTTCTCTTTGCTTCAGTTTCCTCGTTTCAAACTAGAGAAATAATCACACCTCCCTCCTAAAGTTGTGGTGATGATTAAATGAATTAGTCCATTTGAGGTACTTAAAACCATGCCTGATATACAATAAGTAATAAATTATCATCTGTCCACAAACACCTGCCTACTCAAAACACATACAGCTACTTGTATGTACTCCTGTATACATCCAATCACACATGCGCACAAATATGAATATGATTCTACACACTCAACTGTAAACACATATATGTCCAGTTATAGACACTCACAAATATATACGTGTGTATATATTTTTCCCACATACAGAACTGCACACATACCTGAGCACATACCTGCACGTACACATACATACAGCTCTTCACTGACATGTATAGACGTCCACACGTTCAATGACAACTTTCATATACAGTACGACAACTGCAGGGGGCAGGAGCCCCTGGGGTGCAGCAGGGGTGATGTGGGGCTGTTTGCAGAAGGGAGGGGGGTCTCCCTGTCTCCACAGGCCGGAGCTGCCCAAGGCAGCTGAATCACACTGCCGGGGGCTCAAGGGACAGGAGAGGAACCCACACAAGGAGCTGGCGTTCCTCCTCTACCTTGGGGTGGGGGGGTCCCTTCCCTACCTTGGGGTCCCGGCAGGGCTCCCAAGAGGGCTCTCTGGGAGGGGCTGCTGGTGCGCTCCCACTTAGCTCCCAGAGGAGGTGCCCAGCTCTTTCCCAGCCCCCGGCTCCAGCCTGTACAGAGAGCGGGCAGGGCAGGGTCTGCCAGCGCACAGCTTGGGAGCTATTTAAGATCTGGGGCGGGGCTAGTCAGGGAAGGGGGTGAACTGAGGATTAGGCTAATGTTCAGGCAGACTCATTGTGCCCAGCCCCGCCCAGCCTAGGGGACCAGGAAGCCTGCCTGGTGGTGAGCATCCAGCCCAGGTGAACATCCAGGGGACTCAGGGTATGCCCTGGTGACGGGTGATGGCAGTGAGTGCCCTTCCCCACCCCCATGTCAGGAGGCTGCCACCACCTCACGGGCCCAGGTCTCCTCACCGAGCTCTGTGGCCAGCACAGTGAGGTTGTGCCAGACACGAGCCTCGCGGTCCAGGAGCGTGGCTGTGCGGATGGTGCCGTCTTCGGGCTCGATAGAGAAGCAGCGCTCTGGGTCCGAGTGGGGGAGGATGGAGTATCTGGGGAAGATGGAGCTGAGCTGGGGGCTGACCTGGGGGTGCGGCAGAGCTTGCTGGTCCCCCAGGGCAGAGCCTGCCCTATGCAACCAGATAAATAGTTCACCTTGGAGTCCCCTTAAAGGGCAGATGTCCCTGGAAGGTCACCACCATTAAATACCTGTCCTAAGACTCAGGGCCACTGGGTTTCATGTGGGCCAGAGGAGGAGATACAGAAAGAGGTGGAAGCCGGATAAACACTACTGTCTTTCAGATTTCTGGGCCCTGTCTGGGGACCCAGGGACCCGTGTTTCAGCCCTGCTCTGCCTTGGACTGGCTGTGTGATCTCCAGCAGATTATTTAACAGAGCTGTGAGGGGGGTGCTGGCCAGGGAGTGGGAAAGAGTGGCTGTCCTGCCACTTACTGTGTGACCACCCATGGCCGGCCTCTCAAACAACTGCTGATGATGACACATACATCACAGAGCTGCTGTGAGAATTCAATGCCATCAAGTGGATAAAATGTGAAGCACTTAGGGCGTGATCAATAGAGATCCACTCATAAATGAGATTACATCTGCCTGCTCTGCCACTGGGAGGTGCCACTATTACCTACCCAGAGGGCTGGGTAGAGAGTTGGGGAGTGGTCAGAGGGGAGGGAGACCTTGCTGGGAGGTAGGTGTGATCTGCAGTAGGTGAGGGGCACATTTGCATATCCTTGGGTGGGAATAACCTGCCACCTGGCTCCTTCCCAGAGGCCCCGCCCTCCCCAGCCACAGCCTGCTCACCTGATCGGGCTGGCGGGGGAGTCCAGGTCAGCAGCGGAGATCTGGCCCACCAGGGTCCCAGGAGCCTTGTTCTCGGGCACGGCCAGGAGGTAGGCAGCCTGGGTAAAGGCAGGGGGCTCTGGGGCATCCTGCACAGCCACACGCACAGAGGCCACATCCTTGAAGGGCCCTCGCCGAAGATAGGCTGGGTCGATGAGCGTGTTGGTGGCCTCCACGCGGAAGGAGTAGGAGCGTCGGGTCTCAAAGTCCAGCGGCTGCGGTGAGGGGAGACAGAGTGAGTGAGGCGTGTGGAAACCAGGGCAGGCTCCAGGCCCTTGGAAGGTGAAGAGTCCCTTTCCCAAATGTATCCAGTGCTCAGTCCTCGTGTGAGGAGAGGTGGCACCAGGGGTTTGTGGGGGGAGGGTGTGGTGGCCTTGGGGGTCAGGCCGATTACTTAGTAACTCTAGGTCTACCCTCAGCTCCATGATGAACTCGTTATATGTCCTGAGCCAGTCACTTCCCCTTTCTAGGCCCCAGGGCCTCATCTGAAAGGTGAGGACATGACCATGACCATGAGGAGGCTCCAACAGAAGGGTCCTGGGTCTGTTCTAGAACAGTTAGAAATGTGCCCAGTGGGTGGGGCAGGAGGCAGATATAAATGAGTCTGCAGTGTCAGCAGGAAGGAGGCTAACCTTGCGGACAGTGAGGAGCCCGTCTCGTCCCTGGGAGTCTGTGCTGATGCTGAAGGCCTCAGACCCCTCCCCGTCCAGGATGCTGTATGCCATGAGGGCGTTGTCCCCCAGGTCTGGGTCTTGGGCCCGAAGCCGGCCCACCAGCGTGCCAGGCCCAGCTGTCTCCACCACAGAGAACTGATACAGGCCTTGGGGCCGATGGAGGGGAGACACATTCAGAGAGGTCCCCAGCCCTTCTCCCTACCCCCTGCACATCCTTCTCCCAGGGTCTAGCTGGGGTTGGGGTGGGGAGGGAAAGGAAGGCTTCTCCAGAGGCTGTGGGGGGTGGGGTGGCCAAAGGATAGCTCATTTGACAGCACTGGCCCCTTACTCTGAGGGAACTTGGGGGGGTTGTCGTTGACATCACTGAGGGTGACGGTCACCGTAGTGCTGCCCGACAGCCCCCCCATGTGGCCGCCCATGTCCTTGGCCTGGATCACCACCAAGAACTCCTCCTGTGTTTCCCGGTCCATGTTGGGGATGGCTGTCCGCACCACTCCTAGGGACAGACGCTGGGTCAGGGGGTGTCTGTTCCCATGGCTACCCCGCTGGGCTCCAGAGCTCCATCCTCACCAGTCTGGGGGTCCACAGAGAAGAAAGGCAGTCCATCCAGAATGGTGTACACCAGCTTGGCACTGTTCCCATAGCTTGGGTCATCGGCATCATGAGCAGTCACCTGGATTACTGATGTCCCTGTGGGGACCCCGGCATCCCACTCAGCAGCAGCAGGGCCAGATGGGGAAGGACAGAAGATGAGGGGGACCCAGATGTGAGGGAGGCTGAATTGAAGGAGGTGGGTTCTGGGGCATACAGCAATAAGGGAAGGAGTGCCAAGAGACGGGACCTGGGACATTCAGAGCTGGGTGCTCACCAACATTAGACATCTCGGGCACTGTGGCGTGGTAGGGCCCGAGGGGAAAAATGGGTGGATTGTCATTGATGTCTTGCACTTTGATGATGAACTCTGATGGTGGCTCCAGGGGCCGGTTGGAGGCTCGGTCCACAGCTTGGGCCAGCAGCACATATTGTGCCTTCTCTTCTCGATCCAGGCTCTTGGTGACATGGATATTGCCTGTGGCTTCGTCAATCACAAATACGGTACCTGCCCCCTCCCCGGTCAACAGGTACTTGGTGCGGCCCTCTCCCCGGTCAACATCCGAGTGCAGCTGTAGGGGTCAGGGAAAGATGGAAGAGGCTCCAAATGCAGGGACAGAGGATCAAAGTCTAGGTTTGGGTACAGTTTTGGGAGTCTCAAGGGACCAAGGTCATCGCAGAAGTGATGAAGTTGCAGGGCAGGGCCTAAGGGCCTCGAGTCAGAGTAGACATGGGAGGGATTGATCCTTACCTTGCCAATGAGGACAGGTTCTGGACCGGCATATTCCTCAATGACAAAGAACTGGTTCCATACCCAGCTCCTTCGGGTCCTCAGCAGTGCAGGGCCTGGGTGCCCCCGGGACCCGGCCCAAGCCCGGGCTGGGGCTGCCAGATGCCCCATGCAGCCCCAGCCACCCAGCCAGGCCAGCAGAAGCCTCACCAGGCCCCACATGTTTGGACTCCAGCCAGGGCTCTGTTCACTGGCCCTGTGTGCTGAGGTTGGGCTGGGCCAGGTGACCCATTGAGCTGGCTGGGGTGGAGGGGCAGATGCGCTGGGACTACCCCATGGATCCACACCTGCAGGACAGGTAGCTGTTCAGGGCCAAGGAAACTGTTGATTTTCCTCCCCCCAAAAATTAGATGCTGCAGACGAGACCTCTAAGGAACTAGACACCCCACTGCCCAGAACTCAGACTGAGACAGAGCAGAAAGACTGATCCTTCCCTCCACCCAGGCTCTGCCAGTATTCACCTCCATCCCTCCAAGCTGACAAATCTCTGCTCAGTCAACTCGGAGAAGCTGGGAAGGAAAACAGGAAAGGGGATGCTGGGAGGGCTTAGGATCCCAAATCTAGCCCCTGTCCTCCCAGGTTGGGCATGTAACCAGGGGACTGGAGGAGTTGGAGCTACCAGAGAAGGGACTTAAAATTAAGGGGTTGAGATTCGTGGAGGTGTGGCCTTGAGGTGTCTAGGGTCAAGCTGAGAGATGACAAGAAGTGCAGTTTAAGCCAGGGTTGAGAGCCTGTGAAAGTCCCTACCCACCACGGGGAATCCCACCTTGCCAGACCCTGCCTCCAGCCCACACTGCCAGCTGCAGTCCTTGAAGGAGGACTGGGCTCATGAGACAGAGTTGGGGGCCAGAGCTAGAGGAAGAGGGGGCAGGGTTGGGGGCAGAGTGAGGTGACTGGGGAATGGGAGAGCAGAGCAGACCCAAAGGCCAAAGATAGTGTGATGAAGGGCTAGACCAAGACTCAGTGACTGTCAGGCAGAGACAGAGATGACAGGATGAGAGACAGAGACAGAACAGCTGCAAGAGGCTGAATGGAAGAGATCAGGGAGGCAGCCTAGTGTCTGAGAGGCAGAGAGGAGTCATAGTATCAGGCTTGGGAACGGGTCACCTGGGGCAGAGGGCCCTTCAGCATGTGTTATGGGCAGGCAGGGGCAGCCCTCAGCTGCGGGGGTGTCAGACCAGGCCTCGGGAACTTCATTCTTGGAGAGGGAGAGGCCAGGAGGGGGGGGGAGTAGGGAGGGGCTGCGGGAAGGCAGCTGGGGAGAGGACCCTTCTCACTGCTCCTCTTCCTCTCCTCCTGGGGGGGAACCCTCAGGTAGCTGTGCTTCCGCCCCGTCCACCTCCCCCAGAGCAGACATACACCTGACAGTCCGTTTGCTCCCGAGGGAAGAGGGAAGCTGGAGAGAAGCTGGGGACCAGAGAGGGAGGCGGGACGAGCAGGAGAGAAAGAAGGGGCTAGAGGAGTGGGAAACAGGATAGCGGGAAGGTAAGAGGACAGGGAGGGAACAGGGAAGGAAAGGAGAGCGGGAAACGGAAAAGAGAAAGACAGGAGAAGGGGTCAGGTGGAGGAAGAAAAAGGCAAAGAGGGAGAGGAGATGGAAAAGACCGGACAAGAAGGAAAGAGAAGGCTTGGGGAGACAGAGGAAGGGGCAGGAAAGGCAAACAGGCAGAGAGAAGGAGGGTGAAGAGAAATCGAGAGAGGAAAAAGAGGGAGAGAGGTGCGAGGGCAGGAGAAGAGGCAGAGCGCGGGAGAAGGGAGCCGGCAGTGGGCTCCCGGCCCCGGAGCGCACCGCTCTGAAGACACCCGCAGGCTGCGGGCCCCCCGCTGCCCCTCCGCGGATCCCCGACCCCGGGCTCCGGGGCAGGCGCCCTTACCTGGCACTGCCGAGGGGCCCAGGCCGGCGGGGAGCGCCCCCGCCCGCCCCCGTCGCGGGGTCCCGGGGGCGCAGCCCCGAGCCGATCCGAGCGGGCGCCGCGGCTCCGCTGCAGGTCTGAGCGGCCCCGGCGAGAACAAGGGAGCGAGACGGAGGGGGCGGGGGAAGGAGGCTCCGCCTGCGGAGGAGCGAGGCGGCCCCGCGCCGCGCGGGAGAGGAGAGCCCAGCCTCCGACCCTCCCCGGCCAGCCGGGCCCGCGCGGCGGGGGCGGGGGCGGCGCCGCGCGCCCTCCCCCTCGGCGCTCCCGGGCTGCCCGGCGCATACAGATGCGGCGCCCCTCCCGGGCCGTGCCCGCAGCGCCGGCAGGGCACTCGGGCAGGAGGACGTCCAGGCCACGGCGCCAGGCCATTTCCGAAGCGCCGGCAGGAGGGTGTACCCGGGAGCACTAGGCGGCCAGCACGCCCCCCGCAGCGGACGAAGGGCGAGCGCGCGGTGAGGCTGGGAATTAGGAGCCCATTACGGAGAGACCCGCTCCCTGCTCCCGGACCGGCTTTTGGGACTGGTGTGGAACCCACGCTGCAAAGCGGCGGCTTTTTGGGAGTCCGTGTAGAGCATGGTAGCAGGTGTGCTGGGGGGGTGCTTAAAGAAGGCAGAAGGGCCCCAGGAGTCCGCAGCCTGGGCCCAGGGAACGGGTCAGGGACAGAGGCACGACATCGGCGGGAGGGCAGAGATGGGGAGTGGAGCTTTTTCGGGGAAGCTCGTTTACTGGGGCTGACAGAGCGAGGGACTGCCGCCCCCTGGTGGCAGTTGTTGAAAGCACCTCCAAGGTGGCGAGCAGGTGCCCAAATGCCTAACCTAATTGTGCACACGACTGGGGGACCAGGAAAGGGATCTTCCTAGCCTTGCTGTGATTGTGCCAGGGAATTAGGCCGCTCCATTTCCCAGGGAGTCTTCCTTTTCACCTTCAAGTGAAGAAGGTCCACAGCTTTCGGCTTGAGCCAAGGCAGGGATGGAAGACAGTGCAAGTCCCTGCTCCAGGAAGCAGTAGTCAGCCTAAATGACTGTGTGGAATGCAAGGACACCTGCTCCCTGCTACGAGCATCCTCTTCAACCTTCTCACCCAGGCCCTGCCCAACGAAAGCCACTCACACAGTTTAAAACTAAGTCAGATTTTTATTTTTTTCCATAGACCACATCATTTAATAATAAAAAAAAATAAAAATAAAAATTGAACAAAAGGAAAAGGTGGATATAAAGTGGAACCGGGGGACTCAGTGGGCAAGAGGCAAGGGCTGCAGGACAGAAGAGACTGGGAACTGCAGGGGCCCCGGGACTCAGGAGGAGATGCTGATTCAGCTCATAGGTGACCTAGTCCTGGCCCCGGCTGTTCCCAAGAGGAGGCTGTGAGCACCCAAGGGGAGGTGGTGAGCAGGATGGAGGAAAAATGAAAGAGATTTGGGGCACCTGGCTTGCTCCCCTCTGGCCAACCACTTCCTTCCCTAACCTAGCTCTTGCCTCTCACAGACTTAATAGGAAATGAGAGGGAGGAGAGGGCTAAGTCCCAAGAGACAGGTTAAGGGATGTGTGTGGGGGGGAAGGATGGCAGCCACTGTTCCATTTGGTATGTGGGGACAGGTGGTGTGAAAGACTTGGTTCCAGAGTGGTGGAAACTATACCTATCCCTCTGTGGCCTGTAACCCCCCTGGGGCAGCGTGGCTGGTACCTGCAGCTCTCCTAGTGTTGTCCCAGCTAGCGGCGCCCACCCCGGTCCCGCACAGGTGTGCTCCGACTCCGGCTTCTGCTGTGGCGCTTGGTGTCTCTGCGATCCCTCTCCCTGCCTCGTTCCCGGTCCCTTTCTCTATCACGTTCTCGGTCCCCCCTGTCACGCTCCCTTTCCCTCTCTCTCTCCCTGTCCCTCTCTCGGCTGTGCTCCCGCCGTTTCTCTCGCTCCAGTTGTCTGTTCCGTTCCCGCTCAGCTTCCTTCTCCCGCTCCTTCTGCTCTTCTTCTTCTTGCTCCTTTCGCCGCTTCTCCCGCTCCTTGGCCCGTTCAGCCCGCTCTGCCTCCTTCTGAACAATCTGTAGCCAGACAAGAAAGACAGAGGGTAGGCATCAGTCCTGTGCACATTAGTGCACCCGTGCCTGGACCCTATACTCTTAGCTTCACTGTTAAGCAGGAAAGGGGGTGGGGGCTCAGCAACTGCTGCTGTCTTTCTCAGAGCACCTCTCTCCAAGTTTTCAGCTTTTATACACACGACAGGTACTGGCACCATCCACGCCTGGTCTCTGCTATTTTCCTAGCTACCATCACCCTAGATATGAACAAATTTCTTTTCTCTTTAGTTGACTAACATAAGCCTAAAATTCCCAACAGTCCTATTACTAAGAAACTAAACTTAAAACACAGAGAAATGGGTAAGCTTATAAAACAAGTTCTCAGCTATTATAAAATCAAGTTCCAAGAAGCTTGGTTGGCACAGCCAGCTTTCCAGACACCCACACACCTCACTCAGTTCCTGTCTGTGAGTCCATCTTCACCTGCTTGGGCTTGGTTTCTCTATGGCATACTCATTAACTGTTTAAAACTGCCTCTTTCTGTGATTATTAGTTTCTTCCCCTCTTATGCTAAGCTAATAAATACCTGGCCTACTAACTCTTACAGCCCCATGAATCCCCCAGGCAGTGACCTGAAGCCTTGACACGATTTTGCACAGGGCACAAAGGAAAGCACTCACCTGACTGTCAGTCAGTGGGAGCCAATAGATGCAGGGAGCTGCCTTGGTCTTTCGGAAAAGGTCGTCCAGCAGCTTGGCGGGTGGTTCCTCCTGGGCTTTCTCTGAGGTAGAAGTGAATCAGATTTAATGCACATGACTCTCTGACCCATCCCATTTAGATCCTTTCCCACCTACTAGTGGGCATGAGTGCCCCATAGCTAAATACCTTTCTTTTCACTCTTCTTTTCTTTAGACTTCGCTCGTTCCTTGCGGCGGCGATCACGGGACCGTGATCGAGAACGGGGACCTTCTCGAACTTTGTCCCGATCCCATTCACGCTCTGATCGAGTTCGTTCCCGCCGCTCCATTTCCCGTTCCCGCTCTGCCCACTGTTCCCGCACCGCCCGCTCCTGCTCCCGCTGCTCTGCCCGGGGATGCTGTGGTGGCTGGACCGGGGGTGGGGGCGGGGGGTGCAGGGGCCGTGGTATCCCTTGCTCCTCTGTCTTAGTTTCAGAGGGACGGTCCACCAAGAGGCCCCGATGATAATCCAGCTGTGGGCAGAGAGGAGGGACAGGACAGTCAGGATGGAGATGACATCACTTCTATTGAAGGAGCCCAGGTATTAGGGATACAGACACTTTGAAGCCCCATAATTCAACTAAAGGAACCAAAGCAGGGGTGTGGGGAAGAAGGAAGAACAGAATCACAGTGACTGCAAGTTTGGCCAGGATCTCAGCTGGAATCTAGCAGATAATGGCCTCCCCTGCCGCTCCCCTCCTTCCTTTCCCTAGGTTTCTTACCTCATCTTGCTCAGCATAGTCAGCACAAAGAAATTTGGGATTGGACTGGGGCCATTTGACCCCATGCAGAGCTGTGCGGGTGGCAACGGCTTCCTCTACTGTTGAGTACTGGTGGAGAAAAGGGAGAAGACAGAGGGTCAAAGTGTGTCTGCAATCTTTCCCAGTTGCTACAATGCCCTTAAACCTGCTCACATTGGTCACAAAAGTAAATATATGCTACAACCTACAGAATCAGCTTCTTCCCCTCACCGTTACAAAGCAATGAGATTTGATCTTGTCAATCCAGAAGGCCTCTTCCACCAAGGTTCCTGTACGCCCCAACAACTCCTTCAGTTGGCCTAAAGTGAAGGGACGAACCTGCCAATGAAAATGGACTTTCAGGGTCTTGAAGCAGACAACACCCATATATACAGTCTTAAGTTTTCCCAGGCTACTGTCACAGGAGTAGTTTCAGTGTTTGGTAAGAGCAGCAATGTTAGGAACCCTGTAGTAAGAATGTGAAAAGAGTGGTAGAACTAACGGAGACATATGCCAGGCTCTCTGCAAGTCCTCAAAAAAACCCTGCAGGGTGACAGTTCCCCACTCCCCATTTTTCAGATGAGAAAAGATTAAGTAACTCACTCAAGGTCAGTGAGTAAGTTCTGGCAGATCTAGGAGTTGAACCTAGGAAGCGTAAGTCCAAACTCTTAATGACTAAAGAAGTCTGACATGTGAGAACCAATGACTTACCAAATTGGAGATATGGACAATGTTGCTGATCTTGCCCCGGGGTGGGGAGGGCACCTGGGCAGTTCGGACTGGGTCATCAATTGTAATAGAAACTCCAGACTTCTGCTGGCTAATGGAACGTCTAGTTAAGGTATCTCCTAAAGTCACTATCAAAGAGAGTACAAGAACAGCCTTCAGTAGGAGAAATGCTGGCTCTTTCATCTCCAATATAACTCCCACGATTCCCTTTCTTTGATTCCCTACCAAGCGGCCACTCTTCCATCTATTTTGTTTCTTTTTTTTGAGACAGAGTCTCACTTTGTTGCCCAGGCTAGAGTGAGTGCAGTGGCGTCAGCCAAGCTCACAGCAACCTCAAACTCCTGTGCTCAAGCAATCCTGCTGCCTCAGCCTCCTGAGTAGCTGGGACTACAGGCATGCGCCACCATACCTGGCTAATTTTTTGTATATATATTTTTAGTTGGTCAATTAACTTCTATTTTTAGTAGAGACGGGGTCTCGCTCAGGCTGGTTTTGAACTCCTGACGTCGAGCAATCCGCCCGCCTCGGCCTCCCAAAGTGCTAGGATTATAGGCGTGAGCCACCACGCCCGGCCGACTCTTCCATCTAAATGAGCTGAGCACCTACAATGTGCATAATTCCATAGTGATATAACAAAGTCTAGGCTAACCTCTAAGATTAAACCTGGCCCCTCAAGTAGCTTAATATCTAGGAGATGACAGAATGGAAAAATACTACAACAAAACGGAGAAAACATTAAATGCCTTAAAAGGTCCAAATGAAGTGCTCTGGGAATTCAGGTTGCTGCGATACATTTCTCTCACAATGTGACAGACGCCTACCTTTCTTTACTTCATGCTCCACAGGTGGGGGCAAGGCCACCTCTACTGACACC